CCGGAGGCTTTCCCCCCAACGCAGCAGCCTGCGGCTCGGGGGGAACCTCTCCCACTGCGGCTCGGGGGGACCCTCTCCCTTATGGTCTCTTCGGATTTGGGGCTGTTGCTTTTGTTGTTGAGTTTGGGGCCCGGGTGCTGCCCCCCGGTCTCAGGCGGTGCACGCCAGCAGGTGGAGCTGGCAGACCGTCCCAGCATGGCCCCGCATCCCCTGGGCATCGCGAGTATCACCCCCAGTATCTCCTGGCATCCCCCAGCATCCCCCCAGTACTGCCCAGCATCTTCTGAGCATCCCACTGAGACACCTGAGCATGGCTTGAGCCCCAAGAGCATCACTGGACCGTCACCCAGTATCCCCCCAGCATCACCTGAGCATCGTGTACATTACCCAAGAAGCCCCAAGACCCACCTGAGCATCGCTGGACCATGGCTCAGCATCCTCCCAGCATGGCCAAATGTCACCCAGCATCCTCCCAGCACGACCAAACATCACCCAGCATCTCCCAAGCACAGCCAAATGCCACCCAGCATCCTCCCAAGACCACAGATGGACCTACTGCAGTGGGATCTCATGTCTGGTCTTTACTACCACCTCTACCCACCCTGTGGTTTTTGTCCCGATTTTTTTTTTTTTCCCCTTTCCTTCTTTTTGCAGCAAGAGTTAGAGAAGCAAAGAAACGGAGGAAGAGAAGGTGGAGATAAGATAAAAGCCTGGTCCATGGAAGGGGAAACAGAGCAGATAACTGGGGAGACTTGCGAGGGTAGATAAGGGACCTGAGCATGGTGGCCCTGTTCTGCAGCGTGGCCGGAGTCCAGGGCCGAGCTACACACAGCCCGCTCCGGCAAACGGCACGCTGCCACCCTGCCAACTCTCCCCGCCGGGCAGGCAGAGCCCTACCACACCACTCACAGGCAGAAATGGTGGTCACAGATCCACTGGCCACCTGGCTGTGAGCGTGGGTGCCCCTTGGCCAGCTGCAGCTCTGCCCCTACGCACCCATCCCGGCACAGGGGTGACCAGGAGACACGGTCTCTCCCCAGGCCCAGCTCCAACCCAGCAGTTTTCCCCCAAAACAGCAACTCTAGCATGAGTGAGCAGGCTGCACCCCTCTGCCATTCCTTTGGGTTGGGTTCTTTCCCAGGAAGACGCCGCTTTCCCGAACTCCTCTGCATGTCAAAGCCTGCAGGATGAAAACCTCTCTGGAGGGTCGATGTTTCCCTGCGGGCAAGAAGGACGCTGGCCTTCCCGTTTGCACCCCAAAGGAACAGGGTTGTGGGGTGACCGCAGCATCTCCGACAGCTTTATCCTCAGTAGCCTCGGCGTAGTTTCCAAGACATCCAGTACTGGTTACATTTGCCATCACTTAGATCCAGAGAAAATTGAAATTGAAAAAAGATTGGAGAAAAAACAAAAAAAACAACCCAAAACCAAGACCCAGCAGGTCTCGGCACCCGGCACGGGGCCATGACGGGGACCAGGTGAGGTGAACCCCACTGGTGGGACCTCAGGGGACACTGTGGGGTTCAAGGGCAGGTACCCAGGGGCTGCCAGGCCCTGGTGGTTCACCCCAATGACCTCCCACTACCAAACAGTCCCACCGTGTCATTTCTAGACGGACCAGGGTATTTCCCCCCCCCAGCCCCCCTTGCCTTGTTTTTCTTCGTTACAGGTTTGTTTTTCCCACGCTGACTCTCACGCTCGCTCAGCCCATTCGTCGGGATTCCCCTGTCCTTGGCACGCTTGCTTTCATCGCTACGGACCGGGTGGTTCCTGCCTGTGCCTTTGGGTAAATATCACTTCTAGAAAACCAACATTTAAAGAGATTTCTGTAGAATTGCTTCCTTTTTTCCTCCTAAGTGCAGCAGAACTCGTCTGCTCTTGGGTTACGCTCATCACTCTCTGCTCATGTGCTGGCGGTAAGTGACATCCAAGAGAGGAGGTGAGTCAGTTCCAAGGAAGGTCTCAGCCCTAGATTTGTAAAGCCAACCCTACAGATTTGAGTTGACGAGTGGCAGCGGCAGCTTCATGCCTTCGGGCACCCAAGCTCTGATTTTCCTCAAAGTTTGGGGACACGGTTTCTTTTCCGCCCCCTGAGGAACTCACCGCTTGTGGGTCATTTCCCAGCAGGAGCTGGCAGGGGAGAGCGGCAGTTGAGGAGCACGGGATGGGTTCCTTGTCCTGCAGAGCACGGAAAAGGGCTGGATTTAGCCCCTCATCCCCTCTGGAGAGGAGGACGGGAGCTCAGCGCATCCCTGCCGGCAGTATCCTGCCTCCCTGCTCCTGCAGGACCGGCTGTTACGGGGTACAAGTGCGCACAAGCACCCCAAGAGCAGAATGGGGTGAGCCCTGTCCCGTGCTGCAGAAATCTGTTGGGAGAACCACAGGACTGGATGACTTTTGATTATAAAATAATAACTAAAAATACAAAAATCAACTGCAATGCCTTTTTGAAGTGAGTGTCTCTCTACAGCCTGCCTCTACGCAGAGCCCAGGCCCACGCACTGGGCAAAACCCCCAAGATTTTGGGTTAAAACCTTGGGTGTGTGCTCCCGCGCACAGGAATCCCCTTGTTACCACTCGCAGGAGGTTCCTGTGGTCCCTCGGGGCTCTCGCAGGAGAAACAGGTCAAGGAGGGGAAGTCAGAGAGTTTAAGCAGAAACACTGGATCGCAGAGGTCCAGCTGCTGCAGATGTGCTCTCCAGCATCCTTAGCACTAGATGGTTTTGCAGGGGTCAGGAGAGGGGAGGTTAAGTGAAAGTGAAGCCTGAAGTCCAAACTAGGCAGGTTTTGGCTTTGATGGAGGTATAGGGAGGACATCTGACAGCAGCAGCTCTACTCCGGGGAGATCTCTGCAGCTTACCACTGGACTGGACTGGACAGATTGTGGCTCCAGTTGCCAGCTGAAGTTGCTCCTTCCCCCGCTTGCATTTGTGACGACTGCCTGGATGAGGCGGGATTTGGTGGGAGCAGGAGCATCCCCCCCAAACAGAACCTCCCCTCGCACAACCACTGAGCCGTTCCTGGGAGGGAGACGAGATGGTGGGCAACCCACCTCCCCTTTGGGAACAGCTTTAGGGCCCCATCCTCCTCACATTAACACCCCACTCAACGAGAGGTCTCAGATGGCTTTACCTGGAGCTTCAGACACTTTCAACCTGGGATCCCCCGGGACGATGACCCTGGGGAGGGAGCACAGCCCTTCAAGACTTGTCTGGAGCATTTTGGTGGGCAAACCCTTCCCTCCACGCCAAACCCGCCCTTCTCCATCTGTTGCCCCAGGGCAGAGCTGCACACTCACAGGAACTCGAGAACATTCGCCTGCAGGAAGGTCTCAGAGGTGGACAGCCTTTGGTTTAGCTGGAAGAAAGCAGCACCTCTTCATCGAGAAGCTTTTACAAGCTCTCCCTGCCCCGGGAAGGGGGCCCATACCAGGAGGTATGCGACAAATACGGGGGGACTTCGGCTCAGTTTGCCCAGGGTGGGACATGATGGTACCCCCAGGGTACGCCGGGTCTCTGGGGATGGTCGTGGCATCCCCATCAGCCCAGAAACAGCAGCCAGGAGGGAATACACCAGCACGGTGCACAAGAGCCCTGCCAGCAGTGAGGGGAGTCCAGTCCCACCCCCAAACCAACCTCCCCCAGCCCACCCCACTGACAGCAGCTAGCCCAGCCCCAGAGCATCCGGCACACCGGGGCCAGGAGACCCCTCCTCAGGACATCTCCCCAGCCTCCAGCAGCACCGAGCAGCTTCTCCAGCATCGGGAAAGTTGGTGCCAAAGCTCAGCATCTCCCAGGAGGCTCCTGGGGCAGAGCGGAGCTGGAGCCAGCCTTGGGCTCAGACGTTATCTCATTCCCCACCCAAAACACCCACCTTACCTCAGAGGACCTCACCAGGGACAACCAGGCTTCAACCCACCAGCAGCACCCGAGGAGACCAGAGCACTAAACCCCTCGCTCCAGCCCTCCGCTTTGATCTCATCTCCCAGGGGAGCAGCTCCATTCCAGCTGCTCCCAATTAACACACTAACTAATTTGCACTCCCCCAGGTGAAGCTCTCTCCCGGCTGGAGGGGGTCCCAGCTTCCCTCTGCTCCTCATTAAGCCCTCGGCAGAGGAAGGAGCCTGCGTGCCTGTTTCTCCGGGCAGGTTGTTCCCCAAGCACCAGCCCCAACCGCCACGGATGCTCCTCAAAACACCCCGTTTGCAGGGAGCGGGTCGCGGCGGTGCTGGTCCCCTGCTGGGCTCGTGTAATTTGGGCCGAAAAACATGGTTTGGGGAGTTTGGCTCTCAGAACCAGACAGATTTCATGCTTCTGATGGAGGGTCACACGGGGAAGGGTGTCTCGGGGGTCCCCGCTGAATCAGCCTGGGGTGCATCGCCCCAGCAGCAGGTAGAAAGGCACTGGGGGACCGGTGCCAGCCCCGCTGTACCCCACAGCTCTCCTGTCCCCTTTCTGACAGATGCACAGACACCTCCACCAGCATCCTCCTCCCGGGCTGTCACCCGAGGGTGATTTGGGGAACCCCCCCGTCCCCAGAAAGCTGCCGTCGTGCCCAGGCTGGCAAGCAGAGACCGAAGCACAACACGTTTGAAAACGAGCCAAACCCTTTTAATCAGGCGAGGCACCTCTTAAAATTCATGTTCTTACAAAATATTAAATAAAGTGAAGGAACTTTCTTCCCTGGAACCTCAAATATATATATATATATATATATATAAAAATTACAGTATTGTTAACAAACACTGCTTTCCAAATCGCTTTACAACGCTATGCACAGATGCGAGCCTCCCCCGGCCGGCAAACACACCTTTTGGCTAGAAAGAGTCTATGGTAGGGTGGATTTTTTTCTTTTTTCTCCGTTTTCTTAGTTTAAAATAAATATATCCTGTAGTGAAATAAAAAAAAACCAAAATAACAATCCTCATGTTGTTCCTCCGCGCCCTGCATCAGCTGGAAAAAACACCTGAGTGTCAAGTTTGTAAGGCCTCTGCTGGGTACCACCGCTGCAGACGGGGCGAGGGCGACTCCGTCCATCCTCAGCTGCCGGGATCCCCCCTGGGATGCTCATCAACCTCCCAGGGCCCGTGGGACGGAAAGGATCTCTCCTTCCAAGGTCTCGCAGCATCCCTCCTCTCTCCTGCCCCTCCGGGCTCACCGCATCTTTGTCACACGTAAAGGGTTCTCCCCAAGCGTCCATCTCCTCTGGGACAGCCGGGATCAGCGTTGTAAAGTGGTTTGGTTTTCTTTAACGCTCTTTAAATCTTCCTTGCAGCCTCTTTTCAGCTCGAATCGGGACCAAAACTCTCAGCCCAAACAGCATCCCTCCCGCTGCCTTGGTCCAGCGCCGTAAACAGGTGAAGCCGTGATTTTAAATATAAAAAAACCCCAAGTATAAATTACTAATTTATTTTTTTTAAAAAAAAAACACATAACCTGAAGGCAGCAGCTCCTTATAAAGGTAAATCCGTAACATTTTTAAAATGTCTTCATTTAAAACAACAACAAAAAAAGCAGTCCTGTGACCACAGAAGTTGTGATTCCCTTGAGCCTGAACGTTGTGTTTAAGTCTCCGTATAAAGACTGAAGACCAGGAGGAAGGTACCTTTATTGGGAATGACGTGTATAAAGCGGGAGAAGCGGTTAGAGGAGAGAGGAGGGGATGTAGTAAATCGTCCCCGTGGCAACCAGCCTTTCTCCAAGGCTGGGGACGGTGGCGTGGCCATTTCCATGCTCCTCCCGTGGGTACAAACGCCGCCCCAGCCCTCCAGCTCCGCTGGGAATCCCGTCATTCCCTCCCAGTTCACCGGCTGGTGGTGGATGGAGATGGGAGACGTGCTAAAAGATGATGCGTTAAAAGAAATGAAGCCCCGAAACGGGCTTGAGCCCACCCCCGCTGGGATGCCGGGGGCCAGGGGACCGTGGTGGCCATCGCGTGCTTGGAGCATTTCTGGGTTGTGTGGCGCTGCCACCAAGCGTCATCCTCGGAGGGTCCCTGCGGTGTCGGTGGCCTCCAGGCACCAGCATCCCTGGAGGAGGACCGGTCCCCGTCCTCGGGCACAGCCGGTGGGAGCCAAGCATCTCCCCATGGGTCTGCTAGTGATCGCCTGTCTCAGCATCCACGTCACTCCGGAGGGGACCCCGCTCTGGGGACGAGCAGGACCTTCCCCTTCTCGTCCTCGGCTGTTGCCCTTGGCACGTTCCTTCGTGCCTCCTTCTCCTTGGCGCTATCCATGGCTATCTCTTTGCCGTCAGCTTTCGGTGCTTCCACGCCAGGGCTACCTGGGAGAGGAAAGGGGTTGGGGATGGCAGGCTCTTCACCTCCCCCCCCCAAATAATCCCCCCTTCCAGCCACAAATTCCCCCCCTCCAGCCCAGCCCGGGCAGTGGGGCCACTCGTGTGCTCCTCCCCAGCCAGCCCAAGGTCCCCGCCGTCACCGCAAAGACGCGCAAATACATATACACCTTCACAGAAATCCTATAAATACATATAAACGCACACACGAGGAGAGTTACCTACTTGGGGGGGTGCTGGCCAGCCTGCGAGCTCGAACCTGGAAGGAATAAAGTTGGTGGCAATGGTCTCGAACAGCAGCAAAAGGACATCAGGACAGGGAGAGGCGGTGAGAATGTCACCGGTGGGATGGGACAGCCGTAGGTGGCAGGTCCAGTGCGCAGGGCGCACTCTGCCCTGCTCCCAGCGTGTTCCCGAGACACTTGGAGGGGGAGAGGTGGCCTGAAGGTGACCACCACCTCCTCAACACCCCAGGGATGATTTTTCTCACCCAGGCAGGCAAGGGTGCCCAGCTCCACCCAGACCGCCCAGCTCCACCACCACCCCCAGCTCAAGCTTTCTCCCCCCACAACCCATGGAGAAAAGCTAAATATTCTGCTCCACAGAAGCCTTGGTAGGACAAGGATGGTGAGGGACCACGCAAGCAATGGATGCTCCCACCAAACACCAGCACCTGGGAGGCAGATGTGGCTGGATTTTCCCTGGAAGAGTCTCATGGACCCACTGGTGTCACCAACCCTCCAAGGGAGACACCAGGCTACCTACCGAGCTGCTGCCTGATGGAGTCGTGCCAATGGAGGGTCAGCAGGGCCGGGAAGATTTTTTTTTGAGGGCCAGAAGCTTCAGCATGCGTGAGGTGCAGCTCTTCAGCTCCAGGTCCCTCAAGTGCCTTTCCTCCGAAAGCGTGGTGGGGCGCAGCTCCACCTTGTGCTCCTGCAGCACTTGGTCAACGGAGGCCCCGGAGAGCTTGGGGAAGAGCTTCTCCTTCACCACGTGGATGGGGATGAAGACGGCCCCTGCCCGGACGACGTGGGGGAAAGGACACTTGCGAGCAAACATGAAGGTCTCCAACTGAGACAGCAGGTTGGTGAGGAGAGTGGCCACATCTTGGAAAGCCAGCCAGATCTCTTTGCCTTTGGTGGGCTTCTGAGGTTCGGGGATCCTGGACCCGTTCTTGGGTTTGAGGGGAGATTTGGGCATCTCTCCCAGCTCCTCCGCCACCTCCGCCTTCTTCAACCACTCCCGCAGGAGCTCCGGGGAAGACCTGGACACCGAGCACGAAATAACGTCGCAGAGCAAAGCGTGCAGGGCGCTGAAATACTGACCGGCGGAGGTCTGCGGGGCAGAGCCCTCGCAGTGCCCGGGCAGCGAGATGCTCTCCTCTCCCAGCAGGCGGGGGGCTTCGGGCAGCGGGGGCTGCTGCTGCTGCTGCGGGGGGTGCCGGGGGGGC